GTAATGGAAGAAAATCTAAGCAAACGGAGTCGGACTTATACATATTTGGATTCTTATGGTAGCATGAAACTAACTCTCATTCGATTGGTGATATAAATCGGTACAAATTTTTTAGATGTTAGGGACAAATGATAAATGATGATAGAATAGTCGATAAACTGTAAAAAACAATGACAAAAGAGTTACGGTAAAAAGAATTGAGTGTAATGTTTTTGATAACACTTCTAAAACCGTTTTTATGATTGATAACTATAAAAACGGTATATTGTATAAGTTACCAATTAAACTAATAGATAGTTAATGAGCTGTTCGAAATTTGGGTTGAACAATTTTTTTGATTCAAAACAAAAATAAAAGAGTGGTAATTGCTTTAATGAGATTAGTTGGCATGGTAGGTGGACATTAACAAGATCCATCAATTGGTGAAGTTGAGGTTTGGGTTCTTAGAAAAGGCAAGAGGAAGATACGCTATTGGGTTACATTGAAAAACAACAAGAAGAGGATAATCATGTTGTAAATGTATCTATAATAATTAACCCAACTAATAAGTATAAATTCGATAATACATGTATAGAAAAAAAAGCCGATAATAACACGTATAATTCCGACTATATAGCATCTATCAGTATGGATGACTAGTTGTAACGTGTAAAAAGAATTGATTATCGAGAAGATATACATAAATGTAGTCTATAAAATCATTGTACAATGTATTATTCTATTTTTATTCTAAAATGATATTTAGTTTTACTCTTAACATTATTCTATTTTGTAGATGATGAGTAGAGTTGGAGAAACTTTTATTCTAAATAGAGTTTGGAGTGAAAATGGAGTGGGATTGAAAATACTCTAATGTATAAGTCAAATGTAATAGGCTCAACCAATTAGCGGTTGATATTATAGTGCTACTGGACCCAAAATATGATTCTTAAATGTATGAATCCGACTATAGCTATGTGTATGGATGATATCGTAACTTATAAATCCGATATCGATATAGCATTGTTTAAAAGCCTATGTCATGAATAAATCCGACTATAGTCTAACATTTATAAACATAACGTGAATAAAGTCAGCTATAAGCCTACAACAAGTCATCTAGAACATGTAAATTGTAACTACAACTTTTAGTATCACCGTTAAAATTTGTTCCAATACTAGTTCTAGCCACTTTATATTCTTTGAAATCTAAACGAGAATCAAATCTCACTTTAGTAAAGAAAGATATATCTCAAAAGTTTTCATGAATTGGGCCGGTCCTACCCAATTAGCCTACATACCAAACAATCCAACCCAAATTGTATGCCTCTAGTTTTCACATACAAATCTTTTTCATGTCAAGAACCAAAGTAGAAAACATTGTGAACTTTTAAATTAGCAAATATGATTTTAATATCACGCAAGTTTAGATCAAGTTTTATCATCATCACCAGAAATAATAAGCATCACCACCATCATTGTTTAGATGATTATGATAATAATCTTTTTTACATGGTCGAACAATTGCAGAAACCCATAAAACCAATACCCAAAAACCATCTGTAATTCTTTATTCCCATTCGATAGTTGAAGGAGGCTTTGATGTAATGTCTAGAACCACACGGTTTACTCCTTGAACACTGTTACAGATTTTCCGGGAAACATCGTCCAGAAACTTGTGCTCGAAATTGAACCTGCAGATTTTTTTTTTAAACCCACCAAACTCAGTACAAAGTCACAACATAAAACTGCGTTTGCGTTTGCACCGCACTAAACTAGCCAACAACTTGACACCAATAAAAGCAAAAGATTATCTACAAATACTTGTTATCCCTAAGAATCAAGTGGCATGAGTCTCAAATACTTTACATCACAGCATGTACAGATTGTTAAATATCACTATCCGATCCATCTACCCGGTTCAAGACAACGTAAATGCCTAAATACATGACTTCAAATACTCAAACAGTTAAAATAATCCGTCCTAACATTCTAAAAATACCCAAATACTTATACTTAGAGATATTTGGTAGATCAAAACCTCATGTATTCACATCAACATAGTAGCAAGTTTAAGACCAAAGAGGTTCTATATGCATCGGTACAAAGAAATGTAAGATGCTTACCAATCTGCAGTCATTCCATCTTGGCTTGTAACTGCGCGAAGAGCAACGACATGAGAATGTGTTCTCTTGTCTCCTTGGACTCCAACTGATCTTACAGGCAAGAACACTGCGAAAGCTTGCCAGATCGAATCATAGAGACCCGCATCTCTGATCGATTGGATGAAAATCTCATCAACCTACGGAGATAAACCGAAAAAGATGAGTTTGGTATATCAAAATTATAGAATTTATGTGCCGGCTTGAGGTTTTAGAAAAACTTGCCTGGCGAAGAACCTCAAGGGCGTTTCCTTGAGTAACATCACCCAAAACTCTAACTGCGAGTCCTGGACCGGGGAATGGGTGACGCTTCAAGAATCCTACGGGAACATTCAAGATTCTTCCGAGCTCACGGACCTTTATCACACAAACACACCAAAGAAAGATTAACAAACTGTAGTAAAACATTGACAGTTGCAAAAAAGAAGGATAGCCAAAGACAATAGTAACACACCTCATCTTTAAAGAGAAGCTTTAGTGGTTCGATAAGCTTCAGTTTCATGTCTTTAGGGAGCCCTCCGACGTTATGATGACTTTTGATGGTGTGAGAGTGAGTCCTATCAGTGCCCGGGGGAGGGCACGACTCAATCACATCAGGGTACAAAGTCCCTTGAACTAGAAAAGCGGGTTTCTTCCCATGCTTTTTCTCTAACTCCTGGGCAAACTGATCAAAAATGTTGATGAATTCCTTTCCGATTATCTTCCTCTTCGTCTCGGGATCCACAACGCCTTTGAGTTCACTCAAAAACCGCTCTGATGCGTCTACACAAGTAACAGGTAGATGCAAGTCTCTCTCAAAGGTATCCATCACACGTTCTTGCTCCTTATACCTACAAAACAAGCCATACTCAGTAAGAAACATAAAAGCATTAAAAGTGCATAGCACAACGAAAAATCACTTCTTCGCTGACCTTAATAGTCCGTTATCGACAAAGATGCAATGGAGCCTATCTCCAATTGCCTTGTGAACAAGAGTTGCGGCAACAGTAGAGTCCACACCTCCTGATAAAGCGCAAATGACATGTTCATCAGACGCAACGGTTTTGTTAATCACTTTGATCTCTTCTTCCATCAAATCCTCCATCTTCCAATCTGCAGATACTCCACAAACATCAAAAAGGAAATGCCGAAGTGTCTCCATCCCTTTTGGCGAATGAGTCACCTGCACACAAAATCCAACAGAAACCATTTCATCATAAGCTGAAAATTTACATTAACCAGACTATAACACATCCATTGCAGTAACACATCCATTTCAAGAACAAGTCTCACTTTTTACTGATCAAAGAGTCACAGAACAAGAAGTAATCAATTCTCCAAAGTCTCTCCGGATTCATTAAGATATGAACATCTGAAATGCCAAAGATCCAGACTTTAATCATTCATAAACCCTAAATACACTAATAACCGGACTCTAACCCATCTATTTCACTGAACCTAACAGGAAATAATCAAACAAAGCTACTGATTTATCCCAAAGGCTCACTTTTTCCACTAATCAAGGAGTCACAGAACAAGAACTGATCAATTCTCCAAAGTCTCATCAGATTCATCAAGATATGAACATCTGAAATGCCAAAGATCCAGACTTTTATCATTCATAAAACCTAAATCCACTAATAAACAGACTCTAACCCATCTAATTCAATGAAATTAACAAGCAATATCTCAGCCAATCAAACAAAACTACTGATTTACCACTTAAACAAAGAGTCACAGAACAAGAACTGATCAACTCTCCAAAGTCTCATCAGATTCAATAACATGTTAAAGATCAAGACCTTTTATCAGATTCTTTAAAGTTTCAAATACCTCAGGATGATACTGCAATCCATAAATCCTCTTCTTACGATTCTCCAAAGCAGCAACAGCTCCTTGAGCACTCTGAGCCACAACTTCAAACCCTTGAGGTAGCTTAACAGCTTCATCACCATGACTCATCCAAACCATTTGCTTATCTCCACCACTCTCAGACCCAAAAATCTCAGATTTACCTTTCACTTCAATCTCCATCTTCCCATACTCTTTACTCTCTCCTTCAACAACAACACCACCAAGCTTCTGCACAATCAATTGCAAACCGTAACAAATACCCAAAACATGAACACCGTTCGACTCTGCCCACTCGATAAATCCATCGGGAAAACACGGCGCGTCGAGCGCGTGAACGGAGTGTGGACCACCGGAGAGGATAACGACTTTTGGGTTATAGCTTGTGATTGATTTGAGCGATGAGGTTCCATTGATTACGAGAGAGAAGACGTTTAGAGATCGAATCCGTCGAGTTATGAGATGTGTGTATTGTGAACCGTAATCAAGAATCAGAACCGTGT